GTACAATGACCTTCGTTATACGGCCGTCACACACTGTTACTTACATTTCACTAACCCTGCTACAAAGGATACCCCTAGTCAAAAGTTGTTTTCATAACAACAACATGATGTAAGTAACACGAGCAAAGCCATACCATATGTACAGAGTTAGAAATATATTGCAAAGTGCCACATCTAGGTTCTGCACAATGTGGAGGACAACCTTTACTTCCTCAGACCTGCTCTATAGCTCGACATACAATCAGCAAGTATGTACAATCCAATGCTGTTAACCACATCTCAATGTAGTATGCACCAACATCAAAACTACAATGCAGCTCCTTAAAAGAAAGGCCCATATATTTCAGCTCACAAGCAGTTTGTCTCCCAGCTCTTTGCGGTAGAAGTGAATGAGGCCAGCGCTGTCGATTGTCTGCAGCTTATCCTTCAGTATCTTCGTGTAGTGGTCATCCCTATCCTCCAAGCTCCTCATCAATTCAACCTGATAAGCCAGAAACACTTCAAATATATCAGAAACTGTGTCCCAGAAGGGCGACTTTGAGAATACGACTGTGTTAGGATAACTTGTGGCGGATGTATAACTTGCACCCACCTGTCTCTGGAACGACTCAAATTCGTCGAAGCTCAGGGAACCATCACTGTTTGCATCAAGGAGATGCATGAGCGCCATCGCATCCTCGCCCTCGGCACCAAGATCTTCCATCACCTCCGTGAGCTCCTCGATGCTGATCCTCCCATCACCATTTTTGTCTATAAGGCAGAAAGCCTGGTTCTTGCATTCACCTCCTCGATGATCACTGGCTGGGAGGTCTCGAAGGCGAAGAGCTGCTAGTTCTGCCGCGGCCAACATAATAGCCTTGAGTCTTTTAGCCTGGAGAATATTCAAGGAATGTTGATTCTTAGTCATGCCCCAAAAATAATCTTTCAGTTCAGTTTCTGAAAAAGGTATATAAGAATGCTAATTTCAAGATAAAACCATATGTCATGGTCAAATCAAGCAGACGAGTGTATCAGTTAGGAACATGAACCAAACCAGGTCACTACCATCTCAGCTGTGAGCTCTGAACTAACTGTTATTATTCTTACTGAAATTGTCACTGGGTTATACTCCCTCCGTTCCGATTTACTCGTTGTGGTTTCAGTTCAAATTTGAACTAAAACCATGACGAGTAAATCGGAACGGAGGGAGTATAACCCAGTGACAATTTCAGTAAGAAGCCTCATATGCTGGATGAAATTTAGGCGTATCTTGTAGCAAGCAGCATTATATAAAACTTATAAAGCCTATGTTTGTACATGTTTTGGCCCTATGTTTGATAAAACAACTTATCTACTATGTTTTGAAAGATACTCGAATGCCTTAATAAATCCAGAAGATTCAATGTACTTTAAAGGAAGAAAGAGAGTTGGAATTAAGTAGATGGCTCACCTCTCCGGGATCAGTAAGACCACCCTTGTAGAGAGAGTGAGACGCTTCTCCACCAATAGCAATTCTGTGCATCTCCTTGGTGCGTATTTGTATCTCCATTAGTGGCCTCGTCTTCCCAGGTTCACTTACATTAATTGCCACATGCAGGCTCTGATAACCATTTCTTTTTGGCTGTGTCACGTAGTCCTTTGTCCTACCTGGCACTTCCTTCAACAGAGCTCGAATGATTTCGTGTGTCCTGTGACAGGCCCTGGGGCCCCAATCAGATGAGCCACCATCGCATCGAGGGTCCAAGATTATCCGTAAACCAAGTATGTCATTTACTTCTTCTGGTTTCCGGCCATCTTTTACTAGCTTCTTCATAGTACTGAAACGGCTTTTGTACCGCCCTTCAATTGAGATGTCCCGCACAATCTCATTCAGCTCATCATCGGATTTCAGTGCCTGAAGCAACTGGGCCTTGTAGGCATTTATCAAGAGCTTGCACTCGGCTTCTCGGTTCCTCAACCATTGATCGACATGGTCATAGGAATGAGGAAACAAGTACCTAAATGAAAGATCTTCTAACTCTAGCGACAGATTACCAGCCCCGACAGCATGAGCAAGTGGAGCATATATCTTCATTACTTCAAGAGATTTTACTCGCTGAAGATGCTTGGGGAGGTACTGAAGGTGTCTCATCGTATCGAGCTTCAGAGAAAGCTCCAAGATTACTGCCCGGATGTCATAGTACGAAAGGAAAAACTTTCTCAATGAGCTCGCACTTTCATCATCCAATACGTCGACCTTTGAGTGAGCAACCTTAAGCCTTAAGCTCTCGTGCAGTAAATCAGCTATGCCAGTCCCAATTTGAGCTTCTACATCGCTCATGCTTATAGTCCCCGCATCAAGCGCTTTCCTCAATATGCCGGCTGAAATAACTTCCGCATCCATCTGCCGTCATGCATACAACAAGAATTCAAAATCCCTGTTAACATGAGAGCTTAAGAGTGGATAAATAAGCCCAATGATGCTTAACTGCGTTATCATACAAAGCAGTGCAAATATCTTATGAATCACCATAACCTTACAGGGAAATGGAGCGATTAGAAATTGGTCAAAGAGCCTAATCGTAAGCATGGGTTAACTTGTGGTGGTTTTTGACAATTTACACGTCCAAGAAAGGCTCTGCCCATCAATACAGTCAGATGATATTGCCTTCAACTTATGGTATAAATGAGGAATTCAATGGAAAGTATGAACCAAACAGTAGCGATCAGTGACATGAAAATAAATAATCATAGTTAAGCCTGAGGTTAATAGTTTGTGTAACTGAAGTGTGACTGTGAAACGAGGAATGCTGAAAACTGGCTTTCATGCCGTGGCTAAGTTGTAAAACTATCTGCCTTTCTAGGCATCTTCTATCTATGATCTCGATACGTCAGCTTTGACGTATCCTTGAAAAAGAATTCGGCATATTGAGTTACTCATCGTTTACTTAATTAATGCAATTCTTGTTCATGCGAACTTGAACTTGATCCAGGAACCCACAGGTAACAGGCCAAAAATTATTAAATTCTACGAGTACTTCATGCGAACACGAAAACCCACTCCCAGTCTCCAAAATGGAACGATATAATCCTTTTGAGGGAACGATACAATCCAGGGACGAAGCTGTTTGGTAGGCATTGGGGTCAATTGACCCCAATGAAATCAGGAAATGCTTCATTAAATTAGTACTACACACTATCTATTTATTGAAGACGACCTCACTGCCATAGACTTGACCCCAGCAAACATTTTTTCTAGCTTCGTCCCTGATACAATCCTATTTACGCAAACGGAACAGGGGAGGAAGCTCTAGTTCAGCACCTGGAGGTCGGCTAAGGTCGCAGCCACCGCGAGGGCTCGCGTGAGGGCCTGGCCGCCGTCGCCGTCGCGGAGGGCGGGGAGGGCCAGCTTGAGCGCGCGGAAGAGCAGGCGCGACGAGGAGGTGGTCGCCAGGCCCTCTCCCATCCTACCCGTGAGCTCATTGAACACGCCCACAAGCTCCGCCACCAGCCGCCCTCCTCCCTCCGGCGGCGGCGTCGCCGGGGCCGATAGCGACGAGGAGGAGGAGGAGGTGGACGGGGCGGATGGGGAAGAAAAGGCAACGGAGGCAGGGAGGCGCAGTCGGTGCAGGCGATGCGGGTTGGGGCATAGGCGCAGGCCTAGGTGGTGGGGGTGCTGGTGGCGGCCGGCGGGGACGGCCGCGGCGGCGGCGGCTGCCGTCGCCATGGGTGGGGCCCGCTCCGGGGATGGATTGCAGGCGACGTGGCACTGTGGCAGCCGCTGTGGGGATATGGATGTGGTGATTGTGATGAAGTGGCGACTGGCTCGCGCCTTGCCACGTAAGATTTGCCATCTCCGCGCGGGAAGAGACGGGGTTTTGATCGGAAATCTGTATTTCTCCGGAAGTCTTTCCTTCAATACGCATAAACATGCCTATCAATAAAAAAGCAAATGTTAAAAATCTGATGTCAGATTTTTAGCATTTGTGAGCGAACGTCTACATTTATCATACGAAATTAGATAAAATTATAATGTCGTTGATTTGCCATCTCTAAAGTAAAAAGGGAGTTTGGGGCCGGGGCACCGGCCGAAGCTTCGGCCGGTCCAGTCCACGCGACCCAGTCGCGAGCAACCACGTGGCGCTGCGGATCTCGCGAATCTCGCCTCATTTCTGTCTCACAGCTCCGCGGATCTCGCCCCCATCCTCATCTCCTGCAGCGCCGGCGTCCACATCTCGCCGTCGGTCATGGAAGGTTGAATCCCGCGCGCGTCCATGGATGTAGATCTCATCCCGCCATGCTTTTACAGCCCGTTTCGCCATTGGATGCAGCCCGTTGACCAATCCCCATCCCCGGTGGTTGCAACTCCCACACGTCTCGTGCTTCTGCCTCGCCGCCGACGAGCCGGACGGCGATGGTCGACACCGGAGGCTTCTGCAGAATCGTCGCACCCCCTCATGTTGCAACCGTTTAAAAAAAAGCTTCATCCCCTAGATGAAAAGCTTCAACCGGATGTAGAGAAAGCTACAAGCGGTCAGCGCCATCGCCGGAAAGCTACAACCGTTGACATGAAATGCTACATCCTTCGATTAAAAAAGCTTCAACCGAAACGATACAAAAAGCCTTGACCAAGTGCTGCTAAAAAGAAAATAGCTACAACTTTTGGTAAAAAAGCTTCAACGGTTGTTGGAAAAAGCTCCAGCCATTGAGAGAGAAAGCTACAACTAGACACTATGAAAATAAGAAAGCTTCAACCAGCGATGGCTGGAGGTGGAAGAAGATAATAAAATGCTGCAGTTTGCTACATGCTTCAACCGGCATAGATTTTTGCTACAACTGGCATAGCATTTTGCTACAACTAGCGTCACGTTTTGCTACAACACACAGCCGGCGTCGCGATTTTGCTACAACTAGCATTGTTTTTTGCTACAACCGGCATAATGTTTTGCTACATCCATCACGGCCGAGCTGCGACCCAGCACGGGTTTCCGTGAATTCTGGCGGCGAGATCCAGCACGGGGGCAGGGGCGGATGCTGCAACCGGTCGCCGGCGAGCTGCTACGGGCTCGCGGCGAGCTGCAACCTCGACCGGCCGTAACGGAGCTCGAGCCCAAATCCATGGCAGCGATCTGCACCGGAGATGCACCGCGGGGGCGTTGCTGGGCTGCGCGGTGCTGCGAGCCACAGGGGATCTCGCCGGAGATGCGCCACGGGGGCCCGAGGAAGAAGAAGTTGGGGTAATTTTAATTTTTTGCTCCAGATCCAACCGCCCGCGCGGCTCGCATCGAGCGGCTATGGCTGGACCGGCCGAAAGTTTCGGCCGGTGCGCCGGCGCCTAGTGGTGCCCAAGTAAAAATGGCCATGCAGTGTAAAAGGTTATGAGTAAAATTGTCACGGTGCAACGCGTAATTGCCATGCGTTGGATCTGGATCCAACATATTTGGGGCGTCGGACTTTTAGTGTTAAAATTTTGACATCAATGTATCTATAGGTTCATTAAAAAATTGTGAAAATACAAACGATGATTAATGGTAGTAAGTCGTACGATTGTCCTCTCGAACACACCAAATCTTTCTTTCCACTCTTATCGTTACTTGTCTTCAGTTTCTGCTTCAGTCGGTACTCGGTACGTCATGGTCGGCCCAATTCTGGGCTGCTGCTCCAAAGGATGAGTTGCATGTCCTCTCGCTAGTCGGGTCCAAAATTGTGGAACACCTCAAAAATCGAGGGAACCGGAGGCCTGCAATGTTCACCCTCTTATTAATCTTGCGTCATGATGAGGACATGATTACCTTTGATATGATCACAAATATCGCATATGCGTATTTATTTGAGGTGATTTCTGATAAAAGTTATGCATTAATTTTATGCTATTCAGAACAAAAGTATTTCACCTTTTTTTCTTCATGCCTAATTGTAGAACTATCGGACATTTGTACAATCCACATATGAAGATAATGGAAAAAGAGACATTTAGGTGCTGTTCAAGAAGTTCTCTCACCTCACTTTGAGTCCAAAAGAAGATAAAACCCAAGTCTTTCACATTCTGAACTCAGATTCAGACTGCATAGACATACCTAATTCAAAATGCCAAGAACTTTCGCATCCAGACGAAGAATTGGGTGATTCTTCTTTTGTTGGAAAGTTTATTTCATGCACTTTCCAATTCCCTTCAAATTCGTCCGGAGCATGAAGATATTGACGAAACAATCTGACGCTGCAACAGAATCTGTGTCAAACTACAAGTCCAAAGGTGTTGCATCACCTTCACTTGGGTCCATGGGCCTTGTATGACCTAGGGTTAATTTTAGACTGCCTTGGGATGTCCTCCCACCTCCTTGGCCGCCACCCCTTACTCCTATATATGTAGATAAATCTAGTAGTTTATGTTGGGGATTTGTTTAGTTAAAATTTAGACATTGCAACTTCATATACTTCGTTTGTGTCCAACGACCAGGCCAAGACCGTTTTCGAATCCCCACTATTATCAATACTTCATATATATATTCACAATATTGAGATTGCTTTATCATATTCTTGCCTGTTCTTCGATTGCATGCAGGAATAGACCTTCGTGGTCAGGCTGATTGTGCTTCTGGCATCGTTAGTAACCTCATGAGATTGGTTTAGCGATTGCTAAGGCGCAACGTTGTTGCACGTTTGTAGTCGTATCATCAAATCATCTCCACCAAATCGATAGTTATTATCTCATCGAAAAATCGGGACAAACTGCCTCTATCAAGTGGTATCAGTTTTCAGTTTGCTCGGTAAGGTTTCCAGTTATCCTAGATTAGATTTATTTTTTGCCTATTATCCAAGAAAAAGCCAGAAAAAAGAGTTAGATCGGTTCATCCTTTGTCGAAGCCAGTCTGAGCCTTTGCGATTTCTATTCAGTGTATGCATAGTTGAATTATCGGTTGCATCGTCGTGTCGAGCTGCTGGTCTTAGTGTCTAGTTCCTTTAGAGTTTCGAGTTATGTTCACATTAGTCACGTCGTCGCCGCATCATTATCCCTTCCGCTGTCCACTACCTCCATCCATCAATTTCCATCACATCCACCCATCGTTCACTGTCATAATCATAGTTGAGGTTGTTCGCATCTTCGTTTGATCCAATCTACATCTTATCTAGTTTGTTTTTGAAAGAAAAGAAAAACAAAGAAAAAACAAAAAAAAATCATAGAAAAAAGAGAGAAAGAAAAAGAAAAAAGTGAGAGAAAAAAATAATTCTTTTTCCAGATCTATCTAGACGCAATCTCATACATGAATTCAGATTGGAATCTGTTTTGCGCACTATTCAGTAAAACATGCATATCTTTCTCATACGAAGTCCGTCCTCCATTAGTACTCAAATTAAAGCTACCGACGAGCTGCATCTAAATAGTTGTAAAATATTTTTCAATTTGGCACCTCAAAATCGGCTTCTAAATATGTCTTTTTGCCCTCCGAAGTTTACGAACAAAGTTTCTCACTGATTTTGAGGCCAGTTCCTGGATTTTTTGACTCCTCATACGAGCTCGGGATTGAGTGATCCTTTTTGCGTTGAAAAGTTTGAGTCAACAGTATTCTTGAGAAAAAATATCAAAAAATTAGCAACAAGTTTTCCAGGGGAAAGTTGTAGAGAGAGTGTTTGGCATATCCTATTTAGAGCTTATTTCTCACCATTATCTTTAATGCCTTTTAATCTTCATTTATATTGTGCTATCTAGAGCTACTTCATATCCTTTGTTGTTACTAGTATGCTACGTCGTGACCCCATTAGTGTTCTAGACTCGCGTCTCTAGTACGGTCTAGCCTAGGACTAACACAATGCCGTCGTTGAACGTTTATTCAACATTGCATCTCTGAATTATTATTGCTAATCTTTTGCTATCATATATAAAGCCAACCCAGCTCCACATATTTTTACACAGTGTATACATACGTTCACCTGGCAATCATTTTCTCAATCTTTGGAGTTTTTTGACATCGCTAGTTGCCGGTCACCACCTGCAGCATGGTAAGAACTTGTAAGACATTGCTATTTGCTATACTATGAGCGTTTTGCCACCACATCCAAGTAGTTCATAGGAGCATTATTCTCGAATTTGTTTCTTGTTTTCTACTAATTATGACATGTTCCACAGTTGTTAGTTCTTGGGCTTCATCGATTGTGGGAGACGTGCCACCACCTAAGAAAATACAAGAACCGTCACGAGAGGAACAAAGACATCAGAATTTGCATAATCAGGTTAATGTTTAAATGCCACCTTTTAATGGATGTTTTAGCCTTGATTTATATATTGAATAGGAGTACGAAATGAATGTTATATTTGCATCCCATAATTCTGATGATCGTACAAAAGTTAAAGCTGTGGTTAGTACTTTCAGTAGCTTTGCTTTAGTTGGTGGAGCGAACATTGTCGGTTATACCCTGATTTTATACCTACTACTTGGGATGATTTAAAACTTGTCATGAGAGATAGATTCGTCGATGTTTATTATACTCGTGGCATGATTAAAAAATTACAACATTTAAAACAAGGTAGTGACACTGTAATAAAATATTATGATGATTTACAAACTACCTTGTTGCACTCGTTTTTAGAAGAAAGTGAAGAAGATTTTATGGATATATTTTAGGGAGGACACTAAATTCAGATTAAACAGTGATATTTAGGAGATACTAATTTATGAAGAGTGTTATCCTATGAACCATTTGTTTCTTCTTGCTTGCAAAGCTGAACAG